TGTTAATAGATAATTTTATTTGAAAAAGCAAGACTTTATATAATATATGTTTAAAAGTGCAACATTTACTTGTGTGGTATATTATATGTATTAGTGGGATATATTAACTATTCACTTAGATACTATACCATTAATTTCAATTGCAGTATCTCAGTTAGTCAGTTACTAATTTGTAAAATATTATGTATTAAATATAAACTCATTTCACAATAAATATTAGGTTCATTTTACTCCATAAAACAACACCTAATACCATCGAAATTAAAAGCCTTTAAACTTTACAAACCTAACGCAATGTATTTAAATATGTGCATGAAAATTCATTTGTGGTAAATGAGCAACATGCGCTTGGATATTACTACCTTAATTAGGGTAATCATGAACAAAAATCTGTGGCAACTAATGTGAGTAACAATTTACATTAAACGTGGACAATTTGTAAACAATTTGTTGTGGTTGCGCTTGGGCTTGCAGCCCTAGGGCCATAATCGCTTCCTAAATTAAACATTTAATTATTTTCAATGCTTGCTTTTGAATTTTTGTTGCAATTTGGACCCCAACTCTAAGCAAATGATTTCCCAAGGGCCAGTCAACTAACATGACTTGTTTGTACCATTTTCATAATTGAAATTTTGTTTAATCGAGCCCGAGTAATACATTTGATTAGCATTCTCATTCACTTGAAACAAAAACTAGCGGGAAATTAAAAATATTATTGTATTTTTGTAAGCTAACAAAATATAAGAATAAAGGAAATAGTTGTAATAATACCTTAAAACTGAGACATAAAGTTCCAATCAATTTTATGTAATTAACTTTATGTTAATTTAATTTAATTTAACTTTATGTAAAATAAACCTAAAAGTGAACGGATAAAATTATCAAAAAGAATAACATTAACGCTTAAAAGATATAACTTCTTATATTACCAAATTCTTTTTCTATTTTCCACATAAATAAAAAAGTTCTAAACACTTGGCTGGACTCTAGACAATCTTATTTAATTTAAAATTTAAATTATTAAAGAACTTCTACAAAAAATTATAACAAAATATATATGTTGTATACAATTTTAGTTAAGATCAAAATAAGGCACCACCCTATTTCTTAAAGCTTAAATTAAAATTGTTAAATCACTCTGTATTATTATTTAATTTATTTTCAATTACGTGGTTATAATTCTGTAAAGGTTATGATTTATCTCAATATGGAAACAATATTTATTTAGAAGCAACTGTCTTCTCCAAGTGTTTCAAGTTTCAGAATATTGTTAATGCATTTGGCAACTGTAAAATGAAACTTGTAATTTTGGCAACTGACAGTGGCCAAAAGATTTGGCTCACACGCACACGGGGCAACATCCATCTCTTGACCATTTAGCCCTGGGTTGGCTAATCGTCTGAAGTAATTCCACAACAAAAACCCAACTCAACATGCATAATTTGCGTAACAAATGATAACTCGAAGAAATGTGAAGCCATGCATAAATTTCCCAAGCTCACAAGTGCCACAGACTGCAACTGGAACTGCACACACGAGACAGGTAGACATCAAGCAGACAGGCTCCCGGCCAAGACAGAGGATGAGAACTGCAAGGCGGAGTTGGCTGCCTTTGATTTATTGCAGAAAGCGGAGTGAAGGTGCAGAAGGAGCACCAGGAGAAGCAGGAGCAGGAGCATCCTTTCCTGGCAGCCAACTCATCAGCAGCTGCAGTCGGCTTTGTCTCTGGCTCATAATTTATAAACAAATGCGTATGAGCCAAGTTGGGTGAGAGTTGGTAGTTGGAGAGCTGGGCTGGGGCTGGGGCTTGTCCCGGTCGCCAGGGAATAACAGTCGTCCATCTGTGGTCTGGGCTGGGGAGAGTCCTGGTTACAAATGTACGCAGTTATGCCCTCGATGGCAACCTGGCTGAATTGATGAGATCATAACGTGTGTTATGATGCCATATATAATTCCATGCCTTCCTTATACTGACTGACAAAAGTGGAATTGGGAAAGTCAAATCATAAACATCTGCATATCCTGCAAATTGAATACAAACCTGGATACATTGGTGCTGACTAAACGTAATTAAAAAAGAAAATTAATAGGAATTAATTAAGCTTATTAGATAGATTAAATTTCACTTCATGCTTGAATAGTTTCTTTTAACATTTCCTTAATCATTTTAGAAGCAAATGCAATGTGTGGAAAAAATGGCACCAGTCAAAGTTACATTAATTTTTTTGAAGCCAACACTAGAAAGGTTTACAAATTCCAACAGAATATTCTGCAAGCTTTCATCGACAACATTTTCATGTTTCATTTTATTCAGTCTGCATATGGTAAATATTTAATGAATATATCTGTCATAAAAAAATTTTGCTTACCAATCTATGATTTTTTTGGTAACCATTTTCTGTGGAACTTTCAAAGGGCGATTCTGACAATTTTTGGGGCCATCCACAAGTCAAGCGTCAATTATTCAGATAGAATTGCTAAAATGTATAGACTGTTGTGACGTTGCGAAGCACTCGCCAATTTAATTACACTTTCATCAAATGCACTCACACACACAGATCAGTTGAAAGCAAAAAATATTTACAAATTCAGACAGGCAATTGAGTTTTTGTGTCTTTTTTTGGGGGCGCCCTGTGATGTGAGTTTATTTTTTGATGAGAGGATACACATTTAAATATGAATAATTAAAGCTGAATTACTCAAGAGCGTTTGAATTTTTGGATTTCTGAATTTTTGCAATAAAATCAATAAACTATGTTATAGAATCTTTAATATTAAAAAAGTATTTTATTCACATATTCTTGTATATTGTATCAATATTTCAGTATAGATTGCACTGTTTTTATCATTGACTTTGTCCGCTTTATAATTTGTTTTGATGATTTTTGTTAGGTAAAAACTTGTGGCTAAAAAACTTAATTTTAATACATTTATTGGATGCCTGAAAAATTCACATTTAATATTAATAATATCTTTAAAACATTCCCATAATGAAATTATTTAAAAAAAACAGACGCAAATATGACTGTTTTGATTATGCAAACTAAAGCTTTCGCTAATTTGTGTTCTGTATAAAATCGTGATTCAATAAGTACTGCTCATTATGACCATTTATCAATTCAGTTAAGGGCATGTTAAGCCCACTACTTACCAATAATAATTATCTCTATAAGCCTAATGACTAATAACCATATTCGAGCAATGACGAAAATGGAACTCAACGTCCCACAAAGCACATACATTATACAATTGCACTGAGGTAAAAAGCAGGTTTACCTATATTAACCACTGCAGGCGTTGGGGTTTAGGCATTAACTATCTACATAATAATTTAGTGTAATTTTAAGAGCTCTTTAGCAATTGATCTGATGCAGAGATCTTGTTAAACAGTAGGCTCTCGCAGGGCGTCCTCTGCTGTCGGCTGGTCACAAAACAAAACAATAAAATTAAATAATTACAAGTCGTGAGTGAATTTCACGCGAAACCAAATGCTGATGCACACACTCCGATAATGCACAAAAAAGAGGCGACTGGCAAGAGCTGGCCGAATATTCGAAAAATGCGCAACGGATGCCTCTTGACCAATGCATTGGACAACAAAAAGCCCGTTTTATATCGATGACAATGTCCCGAAAATAAGTGCCAACAACTGAGCCAAATTCAAGAGCTGGCAACAAGAGGAGGAGGCCGTCGAATCGCTGCGCAGACAAAATCAAGCCACGCACGAGTGCAGGCACTCGACGGCCACCGATGCCACCTTTGGGCACTGTCCGACATACATATAAGGCGAGTCTCCCCACTAAATTCCAGGAACTTGTTTAAGCCATGTCGAGCATTCGGAAAAAAGAGTAATGTACGCTGGCATCCCGGCCATTGGGGACAATCTTCTTGGCATAAAATCACTGGTGTTGACCAAGTCGGGTTACTCGTGGTCAAGATGTTTGATAAGTAAGTCAATCTGCTGAAAGGTGGGACATCCTCAAATATTCCATAGAATACTAGGTAACATTTAAAATTGGGATTCATAATAATGTTTGCTTACACGATATATATTTGGAGAGTTAGAAAAATCCAGTGAACCTACTGAAAGTTGTAATGTCTTAAGTTCTAGAATAAATTTTTTAATTTAATTTAATTTTAAAGGGATTTAAAGTATATGCATATTTATATATATATATATTCCATTGCATATAATAGTAGTCAAAAGACAGAACAAAATTTGGAACTGTGAAAGATGATATATAATGTATTAAATTTATTTTTGTAAGACTCATTCGATGCTATTTCATTCTTGCACTATTCGTACTAGAAAATATTAATTTATCGATAATGTATCGACATTTTGACGCAAAGGTCGATATATAAATCTGCAAAATCGAATTTAAACTCAGTTTCAACTCCATCTGTACAAGTGTTTATACTAAATTAGGTATTGAATAAGTATTAAAGAAAAGAACAAAAAAATAAAGGTATATTTGATATTATAGCAAACTTAAAGATATTTCCCAAGAGATATCAGACCGGTTCATATAAGTCCTTTGTACGAAACCATATTAAAATACTTATTCCAGATACAAGATTTTCTTTCTTGTACTGATGAATAGTGAACACTCGAATTGTAAATAAATTTTTTTTTATTATTTGTACTCTGGATACGATACTGTATAACTTTAATTTAATTAACCTTAAACCACTTATTTTGTATTTCCTTGAAATTTAAATTTGTTGAACGACCCCATATAATTTCACGATGCAAATAACGAACTTTATATGTAAAGTGACAACAAAAACTACATATATGTGAAGTGGGTCTGTAATTAAGCTTAAGTACAGGAATGCGTCGCTGGTGCGTGCGAATTGAAGTCCCCGAAGCCAAAACCCACCGGAGACAGAGAACGCACCCACTTTTCATGGGTATTTTCAGTTGGAGCAGCTATAAAAGGACTCTCCACCTGGCTGGCACAGCTTAGTCGTGTTCCAAGCGTCCTGTTCCGTGGACAATGGCAGAGATTAGGGAGGACGAGGACCAGAAGCCGGGAATTAGCATTCTCCCAGGCCCGGAGCTCCTGGCACTGCCAAGTTTCGATACGCGAGCGAGCATAGCCTCGGCTGCTCTAAGTGATGTGCCCAGTGACGTGATCATCAAGTCACGGATTCGATATGGAAGTACTCTATCCGCCTGCAAGGGCTTACTCTTGGAGTACTCCAAAAGCACCACCATTCACGGCATTCGCTACATATTCGAAGTCCACAGACCCATCTACGAGAAGTGTGTTTGGGGGATTTAACCTCAAGGTTCTTAGTAAAAAATCTCTTCTTACTTTGCAGACTATATTGGCTTTTCTTCACTTGCATTTCTGTTTACTTTGCCGTCTCCCTCATTTGGGATACCTATCTGAAGTGGCAGGACTCTCCGGTTATCCTGGGCTTTGATGAGACCCTGGTTCCAGTGCATAAGATACCATTTCCCACCATCACCATTTGTCCGGAAATAAAAATGGAAAGGAATCTTTTTGACTACACAAATGTTTCGCGTCTGCTTTGGGAAGAGTACAAGGAAAATGGAACCGTCAGCGATTTGGATGAAGAAGAGTTGAGTATTATTTAATTTAAATATATACAAAGTTACCTATATTATTCTCTATGTTATCTTTTAATTAATTTACCCTTTTATTCCATTTTTATTTATTTAATTTCACAGATTGGCCCGCATGGCAGCCGCCATGCACATCTGCGATCCGGATGTAGTACAAAGATTCACTCCTTTGCTGTCGCAAATGCATCCTCCTTATGTGGATGTAACCCAAACCCTGATTGACTTGAGCATATCGAAGAATGAGACGGGACCGTTCTGCAAATGGAATGGAAGATTCTACTTCTGCGACAAGATATTTGACTTTGTGGCCACCGATGAGGGTATCTGCTATCAGTTCAACGGCCTTCGACCCAAGGACATTTATCGCGATGAGAAATTCATTAGCTACGTTGACCCGGATGTGGTGAACTTTAACAACTACTTCGATGTGGATCTGCCGCGATGGAATAACATAACTGGCAATTGGTCACTGGACACCGGTTTCGTGGATCAGGGTCAGAATGCGTATCCCCAGAGGACAGTATTCTCGTCGGCAAAGAATGGGTTCTTTGCCTTTTTGCAGGGCTTGCAGCACAACTTTGACTACGACTGTCGCAGTTTCAAGCAGGGCTATAAGGTATATGATATAACTCAAAACTGGGTGCGTCTAATGTGTAATTTGACAGGTCTTTCTCAACTCCCCGGAGAGTGTGCCGCTCACCTCTGGCAATTACATCCTTGTACCCCACGGCGATGAGGTCCTCGTCAGCGTCCTGCCAGCTTATGTCGTGTCAACCGACAATTTGCACGAAATTACCCCTGAGAAGTGAGTTGAGAAAAATGAGGTGCTTCATTAAAAATGGCACTTCCAATGCAAAATATTTATATTCAGGCGCCAGTGTCTCTTCGACGATGAGCGATCGCTGCGCTTCTTCAAGTCCTATTCGCAGAGCAATTGCCAAACGGAATGCCTGGCTAACTTTACGGTTGCCAAATGCGGTTGTGCCAAGTTCTGGATGCCAAGTGAGTTTAATATTTACAAGCACAAAAGGTTTTACTCCAAATCCAGTTTAAATTCTTGATTTCATATTAAATTTATATACATTTCACATCCATTTTCTTTTACTTTAGAACCTGTGGGCACTCCCGTCTGTGGACTAAATGATATCAGTTGTTACACAGCTGCCCAGGACGAGCTGTATGCCTTGCTTCAAAATGAAACAATGGCTAAGAGCATCGATAACAATGTGGAAATCACTTGCAATTGCATGCCGGCCTGTACATCACTCGAGTACAACTTTGAGATATCAAGAGCCAAATACGAAATTGCAAAAACCATTCGAGCCTTCCGCGAGGAATATGAACACACAGAGTAAGTCTTGAAGGGAAAAGGAAATTAGCTTAATTATTTCAGGGATATCCGAACCAAAGACTCTTTCATAGCAAGATGCTTTCTTCTCATATAAACTATAAGAACATAAATATTTATTCTATTTATCATTGATTACCAAGAATTTTATGACAGTTTTCTTTGAAACTGTCGGTTAAATAAGCTACCAGAAATTATTAAACTTAGCTTCATATTTAAGCAACCTCTAACCGTTTCTCTAATTTAATAGCACTCGAAGTTGAAGGACAGCCCAACCTGTAATATTTAATATAAATTTTTTCCAGTGCCATCGGATCTCGGCTCTCCGTATACTTCAAGGAGCATCAATTTACGGCCATCAAGCGTACAATTCTATTTGGAGTGTCCACCTTGATTTCCAACTGTGGTGGCATCTGTGGCTTGTTCATGGGAATATCCTGTCTCAGCTTCCTGGAGCTACTTTACTTCTTTTGCATGAGAATCTGTGGAAGTTGCCGCGATCGTCGTAAGCACAAAGTACAGCAAATGTGCTCCGATGAACAGCTGGATAAGAATTCAGAGGATAATAAGTCAATAAAATAGATATTGATCTCAAAAATGTTCCATAGCAGATGAATCTAATGCCGAATTAGTGAAACTAAATGCATACTTTTGAAATAAATGAATTGCTTTTATCGATTTTAATTGTCTCAAATGGCTTCATTAAGTTATATTACCCAAAGATATTTCACACTCTCAATGACAAAATACCAAGAAACGGCACAAGGTAAGTTATGTAAGGTAATTAGTAAGGTCACAAATAATTAATCGTAAAGAGCTCAGCTACAAGACACAGGCACTTTAATTGATTACAAATTATAAATGCATTCGAACAGCAAGCGTTTGAGTGCAATTAATTTGCTCTAATCGAATGATTGCCACACTGAAACTAATTAAAGAGATAACAAAAAATACATTCACCTTCTACCAATTCACATTCCTTTGGTGTGATAGTTTATTTTTTCCCCCATATTTCATAAACTCACGCACAAAAGACAAAATGTCGAGACCCAAATAAAAATATATTTAAATTTAATCTGTTCGCACCAAATGTCAGTTCTAATGGCTTTTGTCACTGGCAACAAATCATAAAGAATATTAAAAAATTCAACACTTTCGGCATTATTAATAAGGCACGACAATACGAAATATGTTCGCTTTGATCTTTTCGTTGGGTCGTGTGGCTGTCAGAAAAAATGAAGGGGATACGATAGAGATTTATCGCAGAAAAATATTTTGCCTTCAGAAAAGTCACTAAAGAATCTGCATTAACCATATAGGTTAAGTCCATAAATTCCAACTTTTGTCACAATTTGTTTTCATTTCATAAAAAATATGCAAGCCTCATTTTCGTGTATTTTATGATCATTGTAAAAGATTCCGTCTATAATAATAATTTATAAAAATTATTTCTAGATGTGCGGTTGACAAATCGCTGGCGCAGCTGTTTGTGTTTTAAATAAGTAGATGGATTTTAGTTAATGACCCCCAAACCAATTCGCTTAAGTTGTTTATGACTTTCTGTCTTTATATATATGTGACGAAAATAAATTCCGAAATACGAATATTTGTACATACAGAAAAACATTTTTTAACATAAATCAATGGCATTAAAAGGCCTATGTTGGATAAATCAAGAACTTGTTTAGAAAATGCTGCAAACAACGTTAGATCATATATTATGTACAGTAAATATTAGTATATCAAAACATGTCTAATTAAATTAAAGTATATATAAAAATTCCATTGAATGAAATTAAAATTGTATTTAAACATGTCAAATACATAGAAAATTAATTCCCCATACAGCCACATAAATCAAGTAAAATAAACAAAGTTTCATTTAGTTGGTCTTAGGAAAACAGATCTTTAAAAACCAACACAATAAAAAATCTTATAGACCAGGGAACAACAATAACACAGAATACATTCATAGAGCTCATAAATAAATCGCACAAAAACTACATACACCATACTAGGGGAACCTGGCAAAATGAATGTGAAACGAAAAATACAAATTAGAAAAACAAATAAATAAAAATCTTAAGCTATGCAAGCTAGCCGGCCAGCCCAAGTCGAAGGCATTTTAAAAAGTATTTTCAAATTAATTTTTATTAGCAGGCGGCTAATAAACAAAAATAAAAACAACTCGGGGGCCCCTGAAATCCTGCTGCCTTAAGAGCAAATATAAATCTACCAAAAAGAGAGAGCGGGGAAACAAATATTTTTATTAGCATGTCGCGACATATTTCAAGGCACATGCTTAGAATAATGCAGCCAGCTAGCCAGTCGTCAGTGTTAACAATTTCATTTGGAAAATTTGTATTTCTCGCCTCCTCACACTTTGTGTGTCTTTCAATTTAATTTATTAATCGTGCGTGTTCATCCGCACTACATTTGTGGGCGGGTAATGGCCACGGCAACGTCTTGGCTCATTTCAAATCTGTCGTCTAAAAATACGAAATGTTTTAGAAATTCATTTTCCTTTTTATTTTTATTTATTTTTTTGTATGTGGATTACTTAATGAACAGAGGTGAATAAGCATTAAGATTGTGAGGAGGTATAATGTTTGCACGAGTACTTTTTAAAAATAATATTAAAAATTAATGTAAATGTCAGATGGTCTCTCTTTGGCTTACAAAAATACTAAAAGCATTCAATACAACATTTAAATTTGTAAATTTAATTGCTCAAATAATAAAACAGAACCCTGAAAATGTAAATATACTGCAACAAGCTTTTGCCAAATTAATTACATTTATTTTATTTCGCAAATTAACAAAATAAATGGCTCAGATTCGTGCTATTTATAAATGCAATCAGTTACAAACCAAATCAACTGCCAATAAATAAAATCAGGGAGATAAAATAACACAAAATTATTAAGCAATTTTCATTAATCGATGCCAGTAATGTAATTACGATATACACACAAAAACCCACAACCAGATGCAAAATAAAAATACAAAAAAATACATTATTAATTGTGACACAATTTTATACGGCATTGCCTGTTGACAGATTTATGTTCATTTGCAAATATTATTTGTACGTTGGCTGCGTTTTTTTATATATTTTATTTAACAAATGCTTCCTACACGAACCATATATTTACACATGTTTGCATGATTTTATATTGTTTCTGTGTAATGCTCAGGTTACGTCGCATTAATCAATAGTTACCCACAGAAATTAAAGTTTAAATAAATTTAATCGGATTCTCAGGAAATTGTATAAATTATTTATATAAACCGAAACGCTGTTTAGCTTAGAACAAGTCATTGTTTTCAATTCCTAATTGACAGGCTATTGACAAAGCTCTGCTCATTAAACACAAAGTTCAGGTATTAATGACTATAAAACCTTAAATAAAATAAAGTGAACATTTAAATAATATAATGCGCATTATTATTACACTGCCAACCATTAATATATGTCAAAGTTGTGCATAAATCTTTTTGACAGCTTAACGCTGCCGCTGAGAGGAGAGTAGCTTTATGGAGAATAATAAATTTTAAACTTTCTAGACAGTATTTATAATATTTGTAGTACTAAATTAAAAAATGATTAATTATTAGATTTATATATTGTCCTTCAATACATTTTACAAGTAATATTATACATTTATTGGCGTTGCAAATCGTTTTTCTATAGTATAAGTTCAAAAATAAACAATTCATTTATCATGTTTTTTAGTAATTAATTAACACAAAAATAAATTCTATAGTTTTTATAGAGGGTATCATTAATTTGACCATATTTATTGATTTGTTTAGCAACTTGGCAAACAAATATCTGTGCAAAGTAACCGTCTGTCATTCATATCCTCAACTCTCGACCCTCGGCACTCGAGACTGTCTGTCAATTGCTGCTATTGATTGATTTATGCATCCATTTAAACTTGTTTTTAAGATGTTTGTCGTTGAGCACTCCACAGATAACGTACAAGTGTAAATATGCACAAAAAAAATCAGACAGGAAATCATTTATAAACGAAAAACGATGGTTTTTAGAGAAAGCATTTATATCTAGGTCTTCTCACATGGATTAAAGTTCACAGCATTCTTTTGAATTATATAATTTTAAATACTTTATGTTTTTGAAATTGCATCATTTCTGTTTCAAAAGATATATAGCAGAAATCAAATAAACATCAAGTGCGTCTCCCCACACACATGATTTGTTGTTGCAAACTCCAGAGGGCGACGGCTTACCATTTTTACTGCCTCTTTGGGGCCAAATTTCAGTGGCATTTTGTGACAGTGCATTGCTAAGAGTATTCAAAATTTATAGCGCAAATCTCGAAAATTATTCAGCTTTGGCTTCGGGCTTAGCACTTAATCATAATCAACTGTCGCGAGACTTCCAAGCCTACCAATCTGGCGACCTGGTAGGCCATACCTGGCCATTCCCCGCACCTCCAACAGTTTCTGTGCGACTCCGTTGGACCCTCGTGAGCCAAAAAGATGAAAACAAAACACATACACAAAAAATAAAGACAAAATTCAGAAATGGAGAGCTGTGCGCATAAATCAAAAACGTTGACGCTATGATTATGGCAGCATTGCGAGCGATAGGTTTTTAGAGGCCGCCGAGGGAACAGCCGCAGCCCAGAAAGAAAATCGTGCGCAGAGGTGTTACAGCTCTGACAGTTATTCTATAAATTATGACAACTGACAGCTACATTTATAAGCCACAACTCTTGCATTTGTGCATAAATAACCGTTGACACATGGCCATAACTGAGGCAGCCTCGGCGAACGGGAACGGGAACGGCAACGGCAACGAGAACAAATGTCGGCTGATTGAGGTCCCAAGCTAATTAATTAGATCGTATTAAAAATTTATGCAAAGCAATTAACTTAAATATGGCGATGGTCAGCAAAAGATAATTTCCGTAGCCGTAGCTTCGGGCGAGGAAAATATTCTCAAGCAATCGCACAGGAATATAAATTAATTGGCCCGAGGAAAAGGTAAAGTTTAAACTGTTGTCAGTTTGTCTTATCGGAAGCATCAATATAATTAGCATAAAGTCAATTAGAGGTGAAGTTTGCCTCATGGTTCAAGTGGTTAGCAAATAAGTTTACATCGATAAGTGGGCCAATTTAGGTAAAATGATTTGAGTTTATTTGTGATGTAAATACAAATAATAGAAATTCACGTGAATAGTGCTTCAGACTATACCATTTAAGGGTCAAAATTAACTATCGCTAAACCTCAAAATAAATCACCAAACAGAATGGCAAATAAAAATCCGCTAGCAAATTACAAAATTAAAGCCACAAAAAGTATAGAAATCACCGTGATATATATTATTTACATATCAATAAACTAAAGAGCTGGCACTCCATTATGTGAAAACACAAAGCAATTTTATAAAAGCTTTATTTGCCACAGCCCCATATGCCATGCCTGACATCACAAATCGAAGTAAGTCTCTGCTGTTAGATAAATTATATCATTAAATCTTTTGAACTTCCTTATTCATTTGCATCAGCATCTGTGTCTGATGTATCGTCGGCGCTTCTGTTGTCTCCTTTGATTGAATCTAAGGCAATAAAG